GGAAGAAGTGAGGACCCGCGAGCAGGGAAGGTGTTCTAGACAGCAGAGGCAGGAATCACCTGGCGATGCAGGCTCTCCCATCTGGTCAGTACAAGATGCAAAGACTTGACAGGGCGTGAGGCTGGGAAACCAGGCTGGATAATGACCTGTGGGCCCTGTCATCGCAAGGCACATCAGTTTCTCCTCAACACTGGAGGGGCTTTGAGCAGCAGATGGACCTGATAACTGCTCTCTAGTTAGAAGGAACAGTGACGTGACAGGGGCAGGAAGACAGAAGACAAAAGTCAGCTGGGCTCCTACTGAAAAAAGTACAGAAACAGAATAAACAAGGAAAGTTAAAGAAGGATCTAAGGCTGAAGTTCTGTCCAGATGTAAGCACAGAAGATGATGCCTTTAAATAAAGATGCAGAAGTTAGGAGACAATGTATGAGCAGAAAAGAGAGGGAAAAATGACCAGGCTGGTTTGAAAACTCTCGAGATTTTAGGTCATCTTAACACCAGAAACAAGAGTGAGGTATGGTGTAGTCACGTGGCTCTGTTCCACTCTGATGAAAGCATTGTGAGTCCACAGGGCTTTTGCACACACGGTCCCCACCCCACCCAAAGGTTAACACCCTGCCCCTCCTGAGTTCATGGAGCTCTGAAAACACTTCCGTAGAGATCCCACCTTGACTACCCACAAAGAATCAGCCTCTCAGTCCCATCATATGCTTTCGAAGAGCGCTGTCTCTCTGGGGTATTTCTTATGATTACTATAGCTGTATACTTACTTTTGTGACCTGAACATTATCTCCCTGAAGAAGATCAGGACGTGCCATCCTAGTACATGCCACTCTGGCATATTATTGTGAGAAACAGATGATACAGGCAGGACTTTCTGGCCTCCCTTCTACATAAAAACAGGTCATAATATTTCACATAAAATCAGGTTGCTTTCCCTGTACCTTATTTGCCAGAGTCTGGGGATCAACACTGAAATAGACCTGTACAAACAAACGTACTAAAATAACCCTTCTCTTTCACTATTTTTCCCAATATATCTCTTGGTCACTACCCCACAATTTACTGCCTCTAAACCAAATCTCTTTCTCTTGTCATTTCTTCCCAAATTTATAATTTCTTTATACAAAAGGCCATGTCCGTGTGAAATTTTAATAAAAATTGTGTATGTTCTATTAATCTTGTCTAATGCCATCTTAATTCCTAAGCCCAGCTGGAGACTCCCAAGAAGGTAGAGGAGAAATGTCTCTTCCCTATACACCACTCCCCAGAGGGTCTACTCTGTCTGCACAGGAGGGCTCAGTAAACTATGGAAGAGCGGATGGGAGGAGGCAACATGTGTAGAGCTTAGCAAGCAGATGATGTGGGAACCTGAAAAACACCCTGCAATACAGGGCTGAGGCAATTAGCAAATCTGACCAGAAGAAAAGCCTTGTGGTAAATGGAGGTTGCCACATATCTGAGGCAATGCGGAAAGGGTGAGTGATTATATGCACATTGGGCACTACGAGGTCTCAGTCATAGAAAGGACAAGAACTGATGGGTCAAAGTTCCAGAGAGACAGACTGCACCTCAAGGGCTGGAAGAGTTTTCACACAGCCACAGAAAATGCACTGCTGTGAAGAGCACCAAGTCCCCATCCCTGGACCCAAGATTCAGAGGCATGCCACCACCTGGTGAAGCCATGGAGCCGACCTGAAGCACAGGCGGACATCTGTACTAGCAGAAGTGGAAGGTCCCTCCTCTGGCCAGAACCCTCCTAGGCAGCCCTCCTCCATCTGCATGGCAGCTCCTCAAGCTTTCTCTCCCCCTGCAGGACCTGTGGTGCCCCTGCACCTTGGGCCTGGTAAACTTGTTCTTTCCTTCAGGTGCCTCAGCTTGGCACATGTGCCCCACTCTAAGAAGTCATTCCCATCCTAATTTTCCTCACTTTTTACACGCTTGCTATCATACCCTGCTCTCCTCCACAGCACTGATCACAAGTTTAACCATGACGTTGGTTGCTCTTGTAATGAACCCGTCATCAGGCCCCTGCAGGCTGAGAACACAGCACTCCCCCCTTCCTAGAGCACCCCAGCATCTAGACAAAGCCCAACACCAGGCCCAGCTCTGAGCCCACGCACACACCCTCTCACTTTCCAGCCCCCACTCAAAACATTCTTTCGACTGCTACTTCTCCAAGAATTATGTCTATAATTTTACCACCTTATTACCCTGCCCGGGACATAACTGTTTATCCACATTTCTCTTATGTGCCTCAGACCAGCTCTGCACAATCTACGTCTGTAAATATTCACCACTGCCTGCTATGGATGCATACAGGAACCAAGGGTGAGCATTTAGATACCTTTACACAGCAAGTTGATGGGCAGTTTATGACTGATGATTCCAATAACCCAAAAACACAGGCCTTGGATTTTATGTCTTTTCCCACCTATTCCCTCTTATTGTATGCTTCAAAAATATCAATCTTGGGGCCAGGGATTTAGCTCAGTGGTTCCACCACCTGCCCTGCAAGCACAAGGACCTGAGTTCAATCCCTGGTACCAAAAAAACAAAAACAAAAATACCGATCTTTGTCATGCTGGAAAAATGCTTAGTCCATCATCATGACTGCTTTCAGACTGAGGCAATGCTTCTTCACTGACTATTTACAGTGGCAAATCCCTATTCTAATTAATTGACTGATATGGCAACAAGACTGCATAGCCCAGATCCCAGTAACGGTGAACTTCATTTATCCTTCTGCTATGTACTAATGCTGTCTTTCTCACGTAATATGGCTAACCTCAAATATGAAAGAGAATCTTAAAAAATGTATTTTTGGGCTGGAGATTTAGCTCAGTGGTTCTGCCGCCTGCCTCACAAGCGCAAGGTCCCGAATTCAATGCCCGGTACAAAAAAAAAAAATTATTTTTACTGTTTAAGAGAGTGTAGTAACAGCTCAGATCCAGGGACCAAGGGCCATTTTGATCAAGACGAGAAAAGCACCTTTACCCATGAGCCTCACCACTTGGCCACTGTGCCCTTGTCCCTGTCCTAAGCACATTACTCCTGGCTTACATAGATTTGAACACAAGGAAATGTATGGTGCTCACAAGCCAAAGATGGACTATTTGGCTCTAATTAGCGTGGTATCACTATTGTTGGCATCAAGTCATGGACACAAACACACACACACACACACACACACACCCCACAGAAAACTACAAAACTGTAAGGAACAGGGTCCAAATCAAGCACTCTCTGCCAGCCTTTTACCCAGCACTATACTCACAGCTCTACCTTTTGCCCATTCTGCCCCTCCTACTGCCCTCATGATGGGGTCTTCTCACAGCTGGACAGCTCTCCACCCACCTGGTTCCTGAAGCTGGCTTTTGTAAGGCTCAACCAAGCTTGGCCTTATTTGTCTATTAATTCCCCCCTAAAGATTCATCAGTTAGCATTATTATTGCTTCTCATTTGCCCTTTATCCACTCGTCAATCCAGCTGGATATTTGACTGCTATGCTCCCAGCAACCATAGGAAAATATACCCACAAGCGCCTAGAGGACACCCCAGGGTGGGAGGAGGGGCATTCCCAAGAAAACACACAGCACAGGAGTCCACTGCAGGGGTCTACCAGCTAAGTCAGCACTCCTAAGTCACATCTCCCCTCACTTCCATCCTGCTCTTTACTGGGCTAACATGCCACCTTAATTCTAAACATCTCTACTAATTTCCAGTGTAGACAAAAAGCCTTATTTCATCATGACTCAATGTACCACGAAACAGGTAACTGTAATGCATGAAAAGTGAGCAATGGGGATCTGCTTTCCTAAAAAGCCAGTGATGGGCTAAGGAATTCAATTTTTTCTCTGGTTGGTGGTTTATTTGAAGCAAGGCTTCCTTCAGGGCTGGGGATGTAGCTCAGTAGTAGAGCACTTGAAGAGCATGTGTAACATCCTGGGTTCAGTCCCTAGTACCAAAAAAAGGCTGAGTACAAAACCACACCAGATGTCTGGATGACTGAATGGGCTGTTCACAATACTGCCCTAATGTGCAAGTGATGCAAATGCTAAAGGTGACCACATGAAGATATCAGGTGACAATAATGACAAACTAGAAGTCTGAGACCTGCACATCATCAGTAGTTCTTATCTGGTATTTTTTATTTGGAAAGGCAACATTTCAAAGTGCCTCTGCTATTTCTATCGTGGGGAATGGCCGGGTATTTACTGGAAGGTAAGACAGACCCTCGTATTTCAATACTGCTTTGTACTAACCTTGAGAAACTTAAGAATCCTTTGAAACCATGCTTTCAATAAACAACATTATGGAAAGCAAGTAAATGTTTCTTTCTTTTCTGTGATCCAGAAAGAATAACCAACTGAATGTTCTCAAATTCTGAATGTTTTTGCACCCTTCCTTACGAAGCCACTTCACCTTTTGCAACTGTAGCTCGCTCTGAGTAAAGCATTCATGAGAAATGTAACCGGGGGTCGGCCTGGGAGGCTGGCATCCCAGAAAACCTGCCCTTCAACTAACTCATTCCAACTCAAATAAGGACAAAGTGGCACCAAGCCAGGTAAAGAGATGACACCTTTCTAACCTTCGATTTCCAGAGTCCGTGACAGCTTACCGCCTACTGCACAGCCCAGGCCGGGGGAACATCTCTAGCAGCTACTCTCCAACCAGACAGCAGAGCCCAGCAGCCGTCTACAGAAGGGTCAAGTGAGGAGGACCAACCACCTCCAGCTCTTTTCTCCCACCTTGCTCTCATCCTCAACAGCTTCTCTCCAGAAATAACTAAATGCATGAGCTCACCCACAGGGAGAAAACAGAGGCATGACACCTACAAGTGGCCTATATATAGAAAGTGTTAACACTCCTCAGGGAAAGACACAAGTCTCCCTGGAAACGCCCAAGCCTCCCCTCCCCTTGGAATTGCAGCCTGGCGACACCAGAGGCTGAGAAAGCACCTTGGAAGCAAACCGAAGCCATTTCTCCCAGATACTTACGGTTTCCCCCCAGGGATTCCAGCCAGGTTGGGCGGGATGGTAGGTACTCTCATGTGGGGGGGAGGATCGAACCCAACCTGGAAATGAAAAGAAGGCACGGCACACTCAGCTGAGACAGGCAGGCATTCTGTGAACACCAACTTTCCATTAGAAACTCTTGTATTTCCAAAGTGATCTAAGTGGGAACGGGGGCATGGGCTAGTATTCTTCGAAAGAAAAGGATGCCGTGACACACACGAGCCAGTCCCCATGGGAATACAGCCCAGACTCGGCTTGTTCTGTGTGGGACCCCAAGTGCAGAGCACAGTGCTGACCAAGCACAACACTACTGGTGCTGTGGGCCCAATGGCTCTTTTCTTTGTGGGCTCTGTGCTGGCTTTGTAGGACAGTCAGCAGCACCCAAGTCCTCTGCCCTTGGGTGCCAACTGCATTCCCTAGATGTGATCAGCAAGTTTCCAGGGACACACTGCTCCACTAGGTTAATGCTTAAAGATCCAAACATGGATGCCCTACACTGTGCACCACAACAGTAACACAGCTACCACCTTACTTTAAACTCTCCTGCCTCCACTGCAGCCCTCCCTAAAAATGTAACATGAAGGAAAAAGATGCTTTTTACATCCCTCCAAATTGCACGGGGCAACATAAAGGAAAGGAGAGAAAAAGCACATGATATATTCTGAACAGCCCTTAAAAAAGCTTCCAGAACTTCTGTTTGCTGCAGGTGAATTCTGGTCCCCTTCCTGATGCAGTCAGTGATGACAGTCCATTTCACCCTTCCAATCCAGGTCTGTATCTTCTAAAAGTGGGCCATCGACCAGCATTTGTTATTATTTGACTTTTTGAAGGCAGCCATTCTTTCTGGAGTGAGATGGTATCTCAGTATTGTTTTCATCTGCATTTCTCTCATGGCCACCACCGTTGAACATTTTTTCACGTATTTATTGGCCAAGAACTGTCTGTCCATTTTGGTTGCCCATTCTTTGACTGGGTCTGAAGCCAGTGCAAGAAGATGAGAGAGAGAACAGAAACGTGGTTTCACACAAGCCATGTTACTGGGGTGACAGACTATAGGGCCATAGAAAAAGAAAGCCAGGGCTTCTCAAGTATTTTTTCCTATGATTTAAAAAGGGGGAAAAACACTTAAGAGAACAAATAAAAAAGTTTTGCTTTCACTAGAGTCATTTCATCACCTTCAAATAAAAAAATCTACTTTGGTGAAAGCAAGCCAGATGCCCCCCGACCACCAAAGGAGCCAGCACACGGACGAAGGCTCTCGGGAAGTGCTGAGTGTGGCCAGGACACCCACGTCTGTCCCTGGGGTGTGCGCGGCTGCCAGCTCCTGCCATGGAGCACTGGGAGGCCCGGTGCCCCTGCTCCCCACCAGGGGCCTACCATGGGGGAGCGTCCGTAGGCCACCACGGCAGCCGCAGCAGCGGCAGCACTCATCTGGGGAGACATGTTGTGTAAGCTGGCATAGGCGGCACTGGGGCTGGTCAGCTCGCCGTTCATGCCGGCGTGGGGCACCATCCCGAAGGGCGCAGGGTACGGGCCGGGCACTGCCAGGGGTGTCCGCAAGCCGGCTGCTGAAAACAAACACAAACCACAAATGACTCTCCTGAACCACTGAGTCAAACCCTACCGGCAACTCGTGTCATTTGTTAGTGTCATTCGTCATGGGGAGGGAGAAGGGAAGGCTTCTGCAGGAGGGGAGATCACCTCCAATTTACAGTGGATCCTCCCCAAAAGCAGAGCTCCTCTCCAGGACAGAAAGGACCCCAGAAGAAGCACAACCCACACATCTCCTCACTGGGGTATGTGGCAGCACTGGGAAGGCAGAGGAATGAATCAGCATTATTGTACCCTGTTTACAAAAGGCAAACTGAGGCACAGGCATGAAGTGTTTACCTGACTGAATCTCAAAAGAAGACTTTCTTGATAAAATCCAAGATTTCTCCTTCAGTCTGAACTTTCCATTCCCTGGGACCAGTTCCAAATGAAAACCAAATCCTAGATTTATGTAAACTGAAGCAGGGATTTAGCAGGAGTATTCTGTGCCTATTTTCTTTGGACTCAAATTGTTACTTTCCTTGCCTAGCTAGGAAGATGGAGTTGAAAGTCATGAGTGTGTTTATTGGTGGGCTGGAGTCTCGGTGAAACCCTCTCCATACCCACTTTAGGAGAGCCTGCCAATTCCTGAGGGATGTACCAACAGAAAACCAGCAAACCACAGGCGGCAAGATGCACATGGGTCACAAAAACAGCCATTTCAGTCCATATTTGCAAAGTCAGACACACAATGTTAGGTAAGGAGCTTATGTCCAGAATAATTATCAGAAACTATTGAAGTGCCTAGGATTTGGATTTTTAGAAATGAAAGAAAAGCTGAATGTGAACAGTTGGAGACAACACAGGGTGCAGCTGCTGAAACACAAGACAAACACCTGTCTTTTTACTGTGCCTGTTTCAGGGACAGGAAGGGGGTGGCCCTGAGCACATTTCAGATCCATGGGGAAATTGTACCACGAGATTAACAGACAGCACACCAAGCCAGGAAAGGAGGAACAATCACAGCACAACGAGCAGTGACACTGTACCCGCTTGGTTGACGAGGGGCTCCATGGCTGGAGGCTTGCCGAGGCCTGGACGGAGTCCTGGAGTGGCGCTGGTGCCCGGTGTTGGCATGTCACTCCGAGGCGTCGGTGTGCTGGATTTTAGAACAGGCGTGCTGGCTTTTTCATGCTGGTATCATTAAACAAATTAAATGAGTATTAATTTTAATCCAAGCCATATTACACAATTTATCACAACAGCAGCTGGGACACTGGGCACCTTCTAGCTACTCCCTCATCCAATTTTCATAAATCCACACAATGTTGACAGCATTAACTTGTGAGCAAGAAATGTTGACCTTTCCTCTTCCTGCCAGAATTAAAACTCGAGCTAGAGCCGCAGAACATGATCACACTTCTTCCTCCGCAGATTTTATTTTTAAAAGAATTTTCCATCAGGCCTGTGGGTTTTGGCGCTATGCCAAGTCAGAAGGATGACCACCCAGAGAACAGGTCCCAGTCCCTCAGAAACACACACCCTGGCCTCCAAGTGCCTGTGAGGGAGACAGGCTTCCCACTCTTGCCTTAGGTAGCCCTAGGATTGACACGAATGCAGGGGACAGCAAGGCCATCAGCTCTAAGAGAAGCACACCAGCATTTCAGAGGCACCAGCCCTCGAACCAGCCTCGCCACTGTGCTGAGACAGAAACCTGCCTAAAGGGTTAGCTCTGGGAGTTAAGCATCACCACCCACTCACTACTGGAACAGCATGGTCCCCCAGTGCAGTAGGGGCTCAACAGCAGTGTTACCAGGGCATCGTCTTTTGTCTCTCCATCTTTCCTAGACACTAAAACATCATCCAAGAAGCACTATGGTGTAATAAAGAGCACAGGCTAAGGGGAGATCCCCACTCTTTCCAGCCTTGGATCGGATGGGCCTTGGCCTTGGCAAGTTCCTTGGGCTTTCTTCCCCATGGGTGACATTAGATAATATCAGGGGGACCGTGTGAGGGGTAATGAGAGCAAAGACATGACACGCTCAGCCAAGTGTGCTGAATAAATAAATGACTCCAAGAAGGGGCTCTGGTACGCCCCAACAACGCTAGTTCCTGGCCTTCCCCAGGGCCTCCTGTGTCTATTTCCGACCTGACAAGCTCCGTGATACCCAGGCATGGTCCATAACATGCCTCGACAGGACGGTCAGTCACCAGATAAATGGGCAGCTCAAAAAAATTACAACTTTCCCAAACGTTTGAGGTCTGAGCTAGTATTCGCTAACTGGCAACTTTCTCAGAGCTTTTCACGGGGAACATGGAAGCCTGTGCAACCCCCGTAATCATGGCCTGAGACACATGAGTGCCAAAGCAAGGAAGCGCTGAATGGAAACACACGCTAGGATCTCACTTGTCAACACTCTCTGCAATCTGTTTCTCATGCTCTGGACTCCTAAGGGCCACAGAGGAAAACACACTGCTCAAAGAGGAAGCACCAGTACTCCGCCTACCAAGCTCATTTCTTTGGACTTCAAAGAGGTGGAACTTCCCGAGGAGGCTGTGGATGCTGGGCTGCTAGAAGCATCTTTCTTCAGCAAGCGGTTTTTGTCAACTCCATTTTCCCGGGGTGAATGGGCAGGACTTGCACGAGGGGAAGCAGGATCCTCAACAAGCAGAATCAAAAGTTTCTATGCGTTAGCTTCTAATGGACAGTTTTTCACATTTTTTTTTTTTTTTTTTTTTGCAGTACTGGAGATTGAACTCAGAGCCTTCTCACTGAGATACCCCCCCCACCCCTTTTTTTACTTTATATTTTGAGACCAGGTCTTTCTAAGTTGGCCCAGCTGGGCTGAACTTTCGATCCTTTTGCCTCTGCCTCCCAGAGTGCTTGGTTCACAGGCATGCACCACCACACCAGCTAATTCTTTAAGAAATACCGAAAGTCTTTCAGAGTGGAGGTGTGTGACATATCTAGCAATGCTGTTATAATGATCAAGATGGTATTTGTAATGCATCCATAATCATACCATAAAGAAAACAATCATGCCAAAGTTCTTCTCCTAGAGGGCAACGGAAAGAAATAAGAACCAGACATTCAACTTAAAAATCCAAAATGACGGGTCAGGGATTTAGCTCAGTGGTTTCGCCACCTGCTGCACAAGGGTAAGGATCCGAGTTTGATCCCTGGTACCAAAAAAAAAAACAACAACAAAAAATCCAAAATGACTAGGGATCGAGATGTTTAGGGGGAACAGGGGGTGGGTTCTGGGATTGAACCCAGGGCCTTGCAAAGGCTGAGGCAGCCCTCTGTCATTGAGCTAAAACCTAGCTCACATTTTTTTAAAGAGGAAATGACAACTATATCAGATTATTATCGCTCATGAACAACCACTGAGTTCTTAATGCATAAAGACCCAAAAGACCAAAATACTGTGGCTCTATTTCATTCACTCACTACTGGGTTTTTCTCTCAACATTGTTCAAGTCATTCTGAAGATAAACGTCACTGAAAAGAATGATTACCTCATTAGAAACATCCACAACTAAGTTGTCATCACTTTTGTCACCATCACTGTCCTGTAAAAAGAAATTTTAATGCTGTTTGGTAAAAGCAAAGAATGCGTTTGGGCATACCTCAATTTCGTCCTATAGTTCTGGGTAGCAGGAGAGCTACAAAACTCCTCAGGACACAGCTGGTGCTCCCTTCCCAACTGGCAGCCCTTGCAATCAGCACGGCACAGCCTTTCCCTCTTCTCAATGACCTGGAGCTACATACAGCTCCAGGAGGGAATTCTGCTGCAGCAGCAAACCAGCTATCCGAGCAGAATTTGCTTACAGGATATGGCAGGCTTCAAAAACCTGGTACCCTGGCAGGGCTCAAAAGTGTTTGCAATGGTTGACTCTTTTAATCGGAAATCACCTCTTTTCATCTGAAATCTGTATGCCTATGTTTCAGTATGTTTCATTTGATTTCAAATTAAGCCCACGATTTCATATCATTGGTTTTCTATGTATTACCTTCAAGGAGACAGCCAGCTAATCAGGTACTCAGAGACTATTCATAATTATAAATTATAACAAATTTACTGAAACCATTTTCCCTTGGGGTTACTTACTGGTTTCAGCAAAAAAAAAAAAAAGAAAGATCTAACCTCAGATCAGAAATAAAGCTCTTCTAGCAATCAGCTCAGAATGTTTGTAAGAGAGATGAAAGGAAGACAAGTGGCAATGTTTGGAAGGAACCACCATCCTGCAACAGGGCTTTTACTGTCTCTTCCTACAGCTGTACACTTTGCTAATCAGAGGAAACGCCAAGCCCTCACTGCGTCCGGAAAAGACTCAGAAAAGCCGTTCAATTTAATGATGTGATCACTCTTACGTCAAAGACCAGGACAGTCTGAAAAATCTATGTTCTTAGCCAGAAGGCCTTATATAGCCGTTAGTGAAGAGAAACATGATAAGCCTATTTAAAAAGGAGGGTATCTCACGGGACTGTAGTTCTTGAAAAGGAGTAGAGCCCCAGTTTAGGGTGTTAAAAAGAAAAGATCCTTTTACTGATACCACTGTCAATTAGGATGACACAAACAATGATGAGAAATATTACCTATTAGCCACAGTGAACTTCTGTTCTCCAAGTTCAGGTTAGAAAGTTTACCCTTAACTTTGCATTCAGGTCTTAAATTTTTTTTTCCAACCATACCCATACTATTACATGTGGGAGATCCAACTTATTTTCTTCAATCGTGTGTTACACGATACACTTCAGTTACTGTTACAAAAGTGTCTTGCAATTCACTAGTGGCAACAGAAAAGTTTCACAGCGTAATCCGAAATAAGAGTCTATCGAAAAACATATTTTCATAAAAAAAAGGAACAAAACTAACAATAAAATTTGTTTTCTCTTAAAGCCCACAGAAAAGCACAGGTGTTCTCAAGTATTACGGTGAAAGAACATCAATCAGAAGGTTTTCCCTTTCAGAAAAAACAAATTCTAAAAACAGCCTGATCGTATAGGTTGAAATAGCAAAAAGAAGAAAACAATTACTTTGTATTAATGGTACTTTTTAATTTTTAAAAAATTATTTTTCTTTTAAATTCACAACAAATCTACACATGTATGGGGTACATGTATATTAATTCATGAACACATGTGTAATGATGAAATTTGGATAATTAGCATTTCCATCTCCTATGACTCCTCTGTGCTTGGAATCTTTCAACTCTAGTTCCTCCTATGATACTTAACAGGTAGCCAAAAACTGTAGTCATCCGGTTGTGTCACAGAACACGAGAGCTTATTCCTATTTAACTCTTCTTTGATACCTGTTATCCAACCCCTCTCTATTTTAGCACTGGAGTATTGTTTCTAATACTGAGGTGAGTCTTCCAGTCTTCTGTAATATAAATCTCAGCTCCGTTTCGAGCCCTTCTGCAAATCTGCACATTCTCAGCACATTACAGATTTCTGGCGTTGAACATCTGCAGTCTGCGGCCTTTTCCACCAGATTTTCCAACGTATCTCATATGCCGCACACAAATATCTATCCAACCAGAAATACTGCACCTAGTACAAGCAGGTAACAAAACCATCATGCTAACCTACAGATCCTAGGTCATTCATTGTTAAATATAAGTTATATATTCAGGCCTTGCAACTCAGAACTGAAGTTCAGCAATTTCTGTAGTCCAAACTATAGACTGATTTAAGGACTTCTGGCAAAATATCAATCCTAGGAGGACTGTGTTCGAGAATCTTAATATAGTAAGAGCATATAGTGAGTAAGAGATTTCGGAGTTAAAAGTACCTTCAGGCTCGGCCTTTAACCTTCAAAAATCATGAAAAATCTACAGGCTACATTTCTTTCTGTATAAAATGGAGATGTCGGCACCCAACACATCAGGTTGTAGTCAGAATTAAATAAAATAATTCACGTAACAGCACAAGCTTCCTGACACAAACTTGAGCTGGAGTCCGAGAGATGTGCCCCATCATTAGTATCAGCTGGAGCAGGCCAGCGGGAGACAAAGGCCCAGTGTCTAAACCCTACACAGCCGGCACAGTGGATACCTCTTCCGCCAAGGGCAAGAGAATTGGCCCAATTCAGACTTCAGCCCTCAGCTGTTCCTGAGAACCCACCCACCCTAAAACAAACACTCAGAGATACCTAAGGTGGGTCCAAGTTACATACTGCTACAGTGTTCACGACCCCAAGACCAGAGGCATTTGGCCTGACCTGGTTTCCTCTGAATGCAGGTTCAGCAGGATCTGAGCCCTTACTCCACCAACCAGTCAAGCAAGCTCAACTGTGGGGTGTGAATGAGATACCTCTGATGTTCCTTCCACTTAACTGTGACTCACAACAGAAGACAAAGACCTCCACCTTAAAACTAATAGGAGCCTGGGTATCTTACCAGAACATCAGAATAGCATCCAAAGGGTATTCTGTAACACCACAATTTTTACTTTATTTGAGCAGGAATAGCTACTAACTTTGCAGGGGCCAGGATAAAATGAAAATGCAGAGCTTTCATTCAAAAACTGGAATTCCAAGGTGCTGGGGCAGACCCCTTCTACAAGTAGGACTCCGCACAGCCACTGAGAACATGAGGTAGGCTCCACATTCTCACAGCCCTTCATATAACTATAGCAGAAAGTCTAAAATGGAAAATTAAGCCAAACAGAAGCATAATTTATAGCCTTAAAGGGAAAGAATAACCTATGGAACATGAGAACCTACCTCTTTTCTAGAATTATATTAAGGGGTGTGGAATTATCATGGAGATATTGGAATACACTTGAATACTGACTTAGAAGGTGAGCAGTAAGCAAACAAATCTACTCAAAATCTTTTATTTACTTACATAGTGGCTGGAATCCTTATCATCCACCTTCCTTTTTTTTATATCATTGGAAAATTCAGGTCCATTTCTTCGTTTATCGGTACCTCTTAGACTATCTGGGACCAAGAGGGAATTACTCTGCAAGACAAAGAAAAATAGTAATAGTAATAATCAAAGACTGCTTGCAAGCCCACTCTGTACATATGAAAACCCAAACTGGATGTGAGAACTGTTTTAGACAAGTGATACCCACCCAGCCTTTCATCACATTGAGTCATCTGTCCACACAGACTTTGGAGGCAAACATTCCTAAGTGCTTTTTGCACTTCGAAGGACCTTGAGACTTAACAGTAACCATCCAAATCCAAGTGGATCCTTCAGGCTCTACTCACTCAAAATGGTTCTGTTCTATTTAGTGCTGGGGAAACAGGAGTTTGCTGTTTAAATGTGGATGTGTTTTTATTCTCTCCCACTGAGACTTCCTAGTCAGGAAAATGAACGGGCTCTAAGCAACCCTGAGATTGCTCTATCAGGCATATTCTCTAACTCTAAGAGTCACTATGTACCACTCTAAAAGGACACAAAGGAAGCAGGTGGGATTAACAGCATAGCTTCCTAAAAGGCAAATCACATTTTCCACAGCAACAATGGAGAAACTTTTGAATTCTTTTATTTTATTGTTGAAAATAAGATTTGGTGTTGCTTGCCAATAGCACTGAAATTTAAGACCCCAAGGGGAAATCTCAGCCAGTGAATCTTCAATAGCAAGACCAGCTCCCCCACACAAAAGCAGGAACAAGGACTAATCTTTTCCACAAACCACACAGGATACTTTCATTGGCATATGCTGAGTGCGAACTGTTGACCCAAAGAAAACAGGCATTTTAGATATTTTGGGGTCACATGACATGATCTGACATCCCTTCAATTCCCATCTCCCCTCAGGCTAAAGCATGAGAACATGTTACAATGAGTTCTTTTAAGTGCAGGATTAGCATATGCAAGAGGCAATTTGTTCAGTGATGTGTTACTGCCTTGAACAATGCTGAATGAGCTGTGCAAAAACCTCCTTTCACAAAGCCCAGATAACCCCAATTTTGCAAAAGATGTTAGAGAACGAAAGGGGGATGGTCCCGGACCAACAAATGCTTATGATACCTTCCTCTGTCATAATTTAAAATAGCGGGCCGCAGAGGAAACTTTCAAGTTAGATCAAATCTAAGGTAATATGTACCCAAACCAAGTATTCCATGCCACATTTTTAGGACCATACGTTTCCACTCCTCACCAGCCAGTGACCAGCCAGGCACTGGCTCTCAAAGCTCCCCTGGGAAGAAGACCAACCCAGCCATGGGAGTGGGTTCCCAGCTCAACTACAGGCAGGAGGAAATCAAAACTGGGGACCAGAAGGCAACCCGAAGCCTCTTGGCCCACTTCAGGGGCTGACTCTAAAGCCAGCTGAAGTCCTTTATTCCTGACTATTCAAGCTACACAAATGCCAGGAGGCTCAGATAAAAGAAGGTGGAAGGATCCGAGCAACTCAATATGGAGAAGCGCAGAGTCATGGCTTTACCACAGTGGCTGGGGCTGGAAGGTGAGCCAGCTGGATCCCTGAATTAATTAGATTGATAAAGGTCTGCTAACAACTAAGCCCTTCCGCCCAGCCTCACAGCCTGAGGAAGGATATAAAGGAGATTTAACAGAACTTCTGTAAAGTGCTAACCAGCACTAGGAAAAGCGTTTTCATACGCCTGTCCAGCTCTAGATTATTTTAGCCTTGTGGTCTCCTCCAGACTCAGCAGATGCATCAGGGGCAGGGCAGTCTCTTGCTCAGCTTTACATCCACACAAGTGTCCAGCAAAACCTGACCCATGGTCTGGACTGGCTAGCTTCTCCCCCTCCCCAATACGGAGGAATGAACTGAGGAGCTTCACATGGAGACACATCCCCCAGCCCTCTTCATTTGAGAGGTCTCTCTGAGTTGCTAAACTGCCCAGGCTGGGCTCCTCCTGCCTCAGCCTCCCAGAGTGTGCCACACGCCTGGCATCTGCTGGCAGTTTTCAAAGTCCCTCCACAGGGCTGTCTTCAAAGTTCTCCTGTGTATTAGCACTGGGCTTCCAAATCACTCAGCCATCCCACACTGCTTTTTACTGTCTTATTTTCAAAATGATCTGCGGTAGAATTGTGAATGTAAAAGTAAACTATACTTCTGTTAGAAAAATACAATTTCTGTTAGAAACAGTAACATTTCTGCAGACCTTAGAAGCTATTACACTTTGATGCCTCTGCTTCCATGAGTTAGAAGTTACTACTGTAATTTCCACTTGAGCAGCTCAAGTGAGGCCTGCACTGAATGGGTTTTGAAAAGCTCTGAAAGTTCCTCTAAATTTGGACTGGGCTAGTAATTAGCACCCCTGCTTATCTGAAAACTAGCCCCATTCAACTGGCAAACTTCCACAAGTTACAAGTTCTCTTCACACCACTGATGCTGTGAAAGTGATTCAGAACAAGGGAGCTGAGAGGGTGGGCCGGAAAGGCCTGGGAAAGAGCGGGAAGGCCTGGTTTGCCCACGCCCTGACAGATGGACTAGTGCTTGGCAGGCATCTACCTCAAGGCTGCTTCATCAAGAGTGGCCTCCATCCTCCCACCGCAGTCCTAGGAACTCAGGTTCTACCTGTGTGACTGAGCAACTGTCTTGTGACACCAGGTTGGTTGTTCTCAACATGAGCAAACAGCTGCAACCTAATGAGCGGCACTGGCAGCAACAGCAACCATTCTAGTGTTTTAACTTTTGCTTGGGGGGACCTCATCTTTGTGGTTCCATTTGCTCTCAGAAACCTGAAGTGACTTCGCAGGTATTGCTGCATGTCTTGAGACACCAAAAGTATTTTGCCCTCGTGCATAGTCTGCTTGTACCTCATGGCTGAAGGGTGGAAAGTAGTTGTCTTGATGGTTGTTATGACCCATTTTCACATTTCTTAGTAACTAAGAGAGAAAACTGAGTATTAAGTGAACATCCTTTGCTCTTCAAAATTTAGGCTCCAATGTTACAGAATATCATGGTCCTTATTACATAATAAACATTTAAAAAGAGACCATTTGCAAAAGAATGACACTGAGATTGTTTCTGTCATTCCAAACACAGAAGACAATTCTCAAACCTGGAAAGAAGCCAAAGCAACCTTGAAGATGTATCTTTCATCCACTAGTTTTACTGGAGTGTCCAGGGAGCAGGATAGTCGGCCTACGATCTGCAAGCTCTTCCTAAGGCTGGGAATGTGGCTCACTGGTACAGCGCTTGCCTAGCATAGACAGCACCCTAGTTTATCCCAGGCACAAATATACACACAGGACACCATTATGTCAAATTCCCTTTCAGAAGGGTGATTTCTAAGCTGTTTCTGTACACAGAATACCTGTACCGAAATACAAATCACTAACCCATACAAGCTCTTTAAACTATCATCTCTAACATTTTAACATGACATAATGTCTAATGCACGTTTTTTTCTAATCCTCCCCCCAAACCACTCAGAGTCCTTTGATTTATATGATTATAAATAAGCCTACCACACCAATCATGTGAAAACATAATTAGGTAAAAAAGTAAAGCCTACTTTAAAATGGACTGCCCAGTCTGGGCAACACAGCAAGACTGTCTGTAATAATAATCCTAACAGCAATAATAATAAAATGAAAACAGTCTGAGATTTTTGGCTTTCTGTTCATGAACGCTGTGCTAACTAGGACGTCAGTAGAGAGCCATATCATGCACTGTGCCACTGCACCCAGCACTGGCTCCCTGTGATACCAGTCCCCAGAGATAACAGTTCTACAGACCTACCTGCCACCATAGACAGCTCTTCCCAGACTCAACATTTTTAAAGATTTTAGTCTACAACATAGCATTCAACAAGCAGAATTCTTTTTACAAATATTTATCTGCCAAATAAATATTTAATCATGAATCAGTTTTTTTGATCAATATGAGAATCAGTGCTGCCATACTAACTGACAGACTCTCATTCTAGCTAAGAAACTCAAAGTTTTATTTCACCTTGCAGCTGGTAAAATTGAAGGATCTGCCAGGAATTTTCCCTACACTGTAAATGCTGGGCAGACTTTGATTATAAATGTCCCCAGAACTGGGATTTCCAGACTGTATATAAGTTTTCCTTTGTTTTAAAATTTTGTTAAGATATAAACAAAATCATCTTATTTACCTTATGTTTTCTACAGGAACTTAAAATAGGAGTTATACAACCTGTGGGAGATGTCCCAAACCTGAGCAAATCAAGACTTGAAAAGTTTTCAAAACAATCTACAATTCTAAAAACCATAATATTTTCTACACCTTATGTGTTACACACGCTTAAGAATGCAAAGCCAAGTAAAATGCTAAAGCGAGAGGCATATCTCCCAAGTCACAAATAAGGGAAAAAGGAAAAAAAAGACTCCTCAACAATGTTCAGTACTAGACCGAAAGTGGGCCCCGAAGCTGGCCTGGCTGGCCTGGCTCTCTCCATTTACAGGGAGAAACTGCAGGAGACAAATGATCCTGTCGGTGTGACAATGGAGGAGGCATCTCCACAACAGCAAGACTGCTCAGCCTTAAGCAGACCTGGGAATCTTCAAGAACATCAAACATCGGAGGACGTCTTCGCGGGCAACAGCCAAACTGTTTGGCATTGTTAATGGATGCTTTGTGGAAATCACATCTACCCGCACTAACAGTGATGACAGAACAGAACCACTGGAACGAGGAGCAAGAGGCCTAGTCAGAAGGAAAATAAGCCCATCTTCCAGCAACAGAACCTGTGTGCTCTCCCTCAAAGAGTCAGGCCACAGCACAGTTCCCTAGTGTGAAACACAAACAAGGACCCTTCCCTGCTGCGCTATGCTGGGTGCCAAGTTAGCTAGGTGGTTGGCAAAGTGTCTGGATACAGTGGGTAGGAGAGGCCAATATCTTCTCTTACAACAGTAACAACCCAGTGCAATTATAAGACTGTACCTGCATCTAAGAGCTGAACAGTGTAAACAGTGGAGTACTGACCCCACAGAGTGCCCAGCAGACTCTTCTGCTTAAACACTAAGATCTGAGCTCCATGCTTCCTTTATCACAACCACTCAGGACAACC